CCCCAAAACCCCAAAACCCCAAAACCCCAACTATAATAACTTTATTGATTTAATATTATTTATTACAAATGAAATATATATTTTCAATATTTGGCAAACTAAAAGGCGCTGACATGTTTTCACACAAATTCACTCTAAATTTCAAACAGAAGAAGAACTACCAAACTTTCATCGGAGCAGGGGTGTCTATCGTGATCTTCATAATTTGCATCTTGTATGCAGTCTTCCTGTTTAATACCATGCTTAAGAGAAAGAGAACATCTACTAATTCTGGAATCATCCGAACTGATAAGATTCAGGACCCTTTGAATGTAGCTCTGAATGATGAGGGAATCTACATTGCACTTAGTGTGAGGGGCGGCTATGATGCAGAAATTGATGCTATTGAAGAAGGAATAATAGAGATCAGATTAGCAAGGATAAAATTTAAACTCAATCGTTTGATTAGCTCTGAAGGAGGAACTCCTGAAATTTCAAGTGAAATTCATAAATGTAATCAAACATCTTTCCCTTATGACCCTCAAATCCCAACCAACAGGCTTGAAATAAACTACTCTTTGTATTGTTTCGATAGAGCTGATTTGATGGAACTGTCTTATCAAGACTTTAATGAAGGTGATAATATCCAATTTGCATTTTTAGGTGAAGTTTGACCTGAAAATAGCTGAACAGAAGATCAGAAAGAGAGTGTTCAGAATTATCCTATTATCTTTGACCTGCTTGTCCTTAGTAAATATTATGATTCTTCAGACCCTGTAAACCCTGTCAAGACTTATGTCCAAAACGATTACTCATTCTACATTCCAAAAGGGAAGTTGTCATTTTATAATTTTGATTTGATTAGACACCGATACAGCATCAGCGATTGGGACTCAGTGTTTGTTGGAGAGAAGTCTGGAGAATTCTATGACATCGAGCAAGGAAATAACTATTTCGAAGAGTTACACAGTGCAACAACCGCTACTGTTATCATGTTTAAAGTCTCAAGTGTCATCAGGAACTATGAAACAAGTGTTATTGGGTTCCTTGATGTGTTCGGCCAAGTCGGAGGTCTCTTTGAAATACTGTTTCTGTTCTCCTCCATGTTGATCAAAAGAGTGACGGAAGTATTATACAAACGAGATATCAATACAGCTGAAAGACAAATCAAGAACAGTGATAGCTGGTTCTCTTATCCATCACAGCTAGATGAGGCTGGAAGAAATAAAAAGAAGGGCAAACACAAAAGAAAGCAGATCCATGATGTAACTTCTTTGATGTTTCAAACTTTCAAAAATCAAGTAAGACTTAGAGAACAAAGAAGGCAACAAGAAGCCATTGACAGAAGCTTAGTTTACCAAGAAGAGCAGCCTGTAACTAGTAGGCTCACTGAAATACAAAATATGAGGAAGGAAATTAGACTTCAGAATCAGCTCACAACAGAATTGGATATAGTGAATATATCTCAGTCTCTGGTAGAACTTAAAATGTATGTGAGCTACTTACTTGACAAAGACAAACAAGGGAATCATAATAAATTGCAAAGCACAAACTCTAATAATCCAAATAATATTTAGTGAAAATAGACAAAGCAGACAACTGGCCTCCATCGACAAGAATGTATCTCTTAACCATTCTTCAACCAAGGAGAAGCAGGGCTTCCGTCTTAGGGATGAGGAAGAAGGACTCTGCAACATGGAAGAAAGAAAACAGAGTATACAAGAAAGAAGTCCTGCACACATATTGGGAAAATCTACTTTTTCTTACGACTGAGTTCCACGATCAAGCTCACTCTACAAAAACGGCCAAGCTTAGGCAGGAGGCTGAAGTTTCATTAAAACCCCATTTTTATCTTGAATTCAACCCAAAGATATTATCATGGGGTTTTGGGGTTTTGGGGTTTTGGGGTTTTGGGG